ACAAAACGCCACCACCCCCGCGCCGTCGCCCCCGCCCCGACTCGCGCCTCTCCGCTTCTGGGCGGGCTCGGGGGTCAGGAGCGAGGACCCTCGAGGTGACGCCATGAGTGCTGCTGCCCGGGTGCTCGTGCTGCCGCCACCTCCTCTGCCGGGAGTTGCACTAGAGGTGGCGTGTGCGGCGGCGACGGCGGCCGCTGGTCGTTTCCTCCCCGATTGAGGGGTCCCCGACGATGGTGTCGCCATTGCTTCGGAGATTTGTCGACGCGCGCTGCCAACTTCTACAGCTGAAGTATTATTATTATTTGATGTTCTTCGGTTCTGACAGACCGCAGCTACCCTTCTCGCTTCCTCCGACAAAAGGTCAGGCAGCACGAAGAATCGCTGGTCGCCTTCGTAGCGTGCACGATGCGCTGCAAGCACTGCTGCTGTCGGCCCTGCCCGCGTTTCTCTCGCCCCTGCACAAAAAAACATTGTGGTTAAATTATTTTGCTGTCGTGCGCGACGATCCAACGGCGCGTGGAAAAACGGAAAAACCTATCCTCGGGACGCATTTTCGTTCGTCGTGCATACACAAAACAGAGCAACCCGGACACGAGTTGGCGGGCGCAGTTGCAGGTGGAACACTCGGCACGGCTATCGCATCTGCAAACGCATGTGGGTGGCTGCTATAGCGGGAGGGCCCCGCGCCTGGTGGTGGTGCTGTTATTGCCGACAGCAAAGTGACGGTTGGCAAATTTCTTGTTCGTGCACGTTCGAAAATTACTTTTGAGTTTTTAAAAAATCAGAGACATCGCGCACCTTGCGATACAGCACACACGGAGTTCGCAAGCACCCAAAAGACGCGCTCGATGTCGCCGTGCAGCGAGGCACGGAGAAAACTACACGGGGCGCGCACCTTGGTAGCCCGACTCCCGACCCACGGACAACAGCGAACGACATGTACGGTACGCCAGGCACAACTCAACCAACCAACACTTTAAAACGCCTCATAAATCTACGTTCTGAAGATAACAGAGCTCGCTGGCCATGTGCGAGATATTCGCTGGTTTCACCCATAGCCTACTGTGTCATATGCTTGGCTACTGGTTGCAGCTGTTGCATCCTTACGGCTGCTGCCGGAAGGAACTTGAGGGCGGCTACAGTAGCTGTAGCCCTCTCCTGTGTTTGGCCGTTGGTCCGGTATTTAAATTCGAGAGCAAGCAAGCCGCTGCAAAGAGCGCTGTGCGGGGCAGACACCAGGTTCGTCCTTGCAATTGCACCATCCACTTCTCACCTGAGATAAACGAGTATGGCGGAGCGTGCAAGCGACTCTCTTTCTTGAACCGCCGTCCCCTCCAGTCCTCAACACTCCCTCGACTGCTGGAAACACACACGACCTGCTCTGCCCGCCGTGGCCGACAGGAATTTCGGACCCAAGGTTTCAAGGCGGGTTCCGTGATTTCTGACCCTGGGTACCTACGAAATATTTGGCGAAACCCCCAACCCGGTGCGGTGCATGTTTCTCCATCGTTGGCTCCATCAACGGCTGTAGGACTTTGAAGATTTGCGTATGGAAACATGACAGCATATCCTGTGTGCGTGGGACAGAGACAATCGCAGCGGAGGTACGTGGAGGTTCAGGGTAGAATTAGCTCGGTGGGGGATGAAGAGAGCAGTGGTAACAGAGTGAACCCCTCTACAGCCGTGCACACCCTTAACACTATATCTAAGTAATTTCCTCCATCAAGCAAGTGACGTACAGAAGATATATATGCTATCATACGTTATGCATATACGCTACTCCGTAATTTGAAAGTCCTCACGTTATGATATTGACTTTGGCGACATGGTACACATCAATCAAGCAGCTTGAGCTTGGCTTGCCGAGGGTTGTTTTAAACGTTGCACCTACGAATGGAAGACGGTGAGCCTCCCTTTATCTGTGCAGTGTGGTGACACCAAATCCCGGAGGCTCTGCCAGCTACGACGCTGAGGAGCACGAATAGAGTGGTGGTTGAGGGTGGTGGAGTTCTTCGTCTTCGGTTTCAACAAAAGTATGACGATGCTGTTTGGTTTCCAAGTCTTACGAGGTGTATTCGGCTAGCCATTGGCATCCCAGCCAGCTCTCACACATGGATGAGCGGGTCAAAAGATCGCACCACCTCTTCTTCTTTTTCCGGCGGCTAATTTTTGGCTTTGAATTCGAACGGCTCCGGCAGGATTTAATGGCAATATTTCCAGCCGAAAGCAAGTTTCATGTGGCATGGTTAGAATTTAATTGTCGTCTGTGCAACGAGCAATCATGTGGTGATTCGACTGCTGTGTTGTTATGATCGGTGGGACGTTTTCCATATATATTTTGTGCATGCAATGGCGCGTATGTATGTGTATTGTATGGTATGTGTATGCGAAGCCACGTTGTAAGCCGCAACAGATCACACCAAATACCACCAATCACCTAAAAAGCGATTCTTCCGAGAGCGTGATGAGAGCGCAGCGTGTCTGAGATTCTTGAACGGTCCCTCGACAACAAGGCCATCAACCAGCTCATACTACATGCCGAAACTATCGGTAAATCGCGCCACGTGCAGCAAACGATAGCTGCTCAAATAACAATGGGAGGTCGTGAGATCATCTCACCTTCACAGAACTGCTGTTATGTATTCTCTGCATTTTTGCGAGGTTCGTGAGACCCGATCAAGGAGAGGACTGCCGAACAAAAACGACAAAGATAGCAGACACACACACACACACACACACACACACACACAAAATACCTGCGCCGAGCGACCCAAGCTCTACCGAACGTCGAGAGCTCGTCCCGACTCAATCCTGAAACATACATGTATGACACAACTAACCGCGCTCACTGTGCGAAACTTGCTCACTACGAACGGTGCCCCTCATTTGGACTTCTGCCGTATCACAGGAGCTCAATACCCTACCGACTCAACGCTCCCGATGCGAACTATCCCCAAAGATCGCCTAGGACACTCAGCACACAAGCACTCACAAAAGGAGGGAGCGTGCCTGTGGGTTTGAAAAAAAACTCCTCTTGCAACAGTGAGAAAAAAACAGAATTCGAGCTCATTGAAGTTGCCATAAATATAAAGGCCGACAAGTCCATCCCGAAGACTCGGCGCGAACTTGCAAATACCGCTCGCTGCAGCGGCTCACGCCGCAACGAAACCCAGAGTCGTTCTTCTATTGTGCAGGAGACAACACCCCACCCGCCGTACGTAGTGACTCACCTACATTCGTCTCGAAACAACGCTACCTGGTACCCATTTTGGCACGTACTATTGTAGAGCTCTGAGGATGGAACCCCCCTTTACAGGGGGAGGAGTGTGTCGTGTCATTTTGGTCCAGAGACACCCGCTATCCCCTCCCTGACACATCACTCTCCCTTCCGCTGTCAAATTTTCAACACGATTCCAAGGCTCTCAGTGGTAGATCATGTGAAACCGGGTGTCACGCAACACGGCCCTTGCTTTCCGTCAACTTTGACAACACCACATCCCACTTGAAAGACCCCTTTTTCCGTACGAGGGTTTACGAACGTACGGCCCGATGGCTGGATGTTCAGACCGCTCGGTACTGCGGTGCTGAAGCAAGGAATTCACCGTAGGCAGCTGTGTTGGGGCGAACGAACAGTTCGACCAGCGGGTTCGCGCGGTGTTGCTTTGTTGCACCAATGTCTTTGAGCAACTCATCGAAGTGGCGGAAATGAAACGGAGCCACGCACAAGCCGCCGTATTCTTTGGCCACCGGTCTCTCCTCCCGCCGCCACTGTTGCATCTTGTCGATGTTGGCGTTCATCTCATCCGTGGTTGCCTGATTTCCGAGCTGTCCATCCGCAAAACGAACCAGCCAGTTTGCGACCAATTCCGCCGACAATACGGTGCAGAAACTGCTGTTGAAGCCAACGAACCCTAAATCAGGCAGGTCTGGGTTCACCGCGAAGCGGTAGAGACGATGAACGCCGTCATCATCGACCAGCTTGTGCTGTGCTTCCGCGGGCAGAAACGGGATGCCCTGTTTCCATCCAGTCGCCATCACCGCAACATCGCACGGGACCGTGTCACCGTTTGACAGGACCGCTGCGCCTTCTTCGTAGCGCTCGATCGATCCTTGAACCGCTTTGATCGTTCCGTCATCCAACGCTTCGAAGAAGCCAGGAGTGACGACGCCGATCGAGCAGGAGACGGTGTCTTCGATCGGCTCCGAGGGAACCATGTTGTGCTTCTTCAGACCAAGCTGGAGGGTCAGCACAGCCTCCAAGCCGCGGAAGTTGAACCAGATCAAGGGCTTCAAGAGCAGCCTGAGCGCGCGCCCGACCGGCGAGGGCAACCAGCCGTCGAACTGCTCCTCCTGCGCGCGCATGTAGAGCAGGTGCTTGAAGTTGATGCCGCCGATGAAGTACGGCAGCCGCCAGACGTTCTTGCGGTAGACGATGGTGACCGACTTCGCGCCGTTGCTGGCGGCGTTGACAGCGATGTCCAACGCCGACTTCGAGCCGCCCAAGACCACGACGCGCTTTCCCCGGATAATCGACGGGTCGGTGTAGTCCGAGGAGTGCATGGTCGCTCCGCCCTGAGCGGTGAAGTCGCCCTCGCCCGGATGAGTCGGGACGTTCTTCTCGGAAAACTGTCCGGTCGCAACGCTGACGAAGTCGAAGTCTTCTTTCGAAGCACTTTCCTTGTCGTCGCCTTCTTTAATCAACGTCAGGGTCCACCCAGGTTGGCCGTCGGCCCTGCGCTCCATCGCCTCAACCTTCGTGCCGAGTCTGAACAGCCGCGCGACGTCGTGCTTGTCCGCGTAAGAATGGATGTAGGCGTGAACGTCTGGGGCCGCTGGCCATTCCGGCACCTTTTCGGGGTACGAGTGGTCGGTGAAACAGTAGAGATCCTTTGCCGATTGTGACCGGCAGTCGGGATAGGAGCGCGACGGCTCCCACACGCCTCCGAAGTCGCGGCTGCGCTCGAGCCCGTGGACATCGTGGCCGCGCTCGGCGAAAGCCTTTGCCGCGGCAATACCGCTGAAGCCTCCGCCGATCACGGCAACTCTCTTCTTCTGAGCCATGAGGAGAACGCACCCCGAACCTGTTCAATGGTTGTGACGAAGCGCGCGAGCGACGAACGTTTACATGGCGGGCCAGGAGCTTCAATACTTGGTACTACAGCGGAGTCAAAGAGTAACAAAGCATTCCCAAGCACAGCGAGAGAGAGAGATCGCATCACTCTCAACTGATGTTCGCTTGGCAGGAAGAATAGGTAAACAATGCTACGTAGTGGCACCCATTCGCGCAAGTGTGAAAACACCTCTCTGTTGAATGTGCGCGGAAATGGAAACGTGTTCCAACGTCGCCGGAAAACTGATTTATTCTCAGTGTGCGACCGAGGTAGACAGGTACACATTTCATTCCTAATGAAGAAAACACGCGTTAAGACAACACCGTTCCGAACAGAATTTGACACAAATCGTGAACGGTTCGGCCAATGAGCCCCTCCCGGAAAGCATGCATACATGTCCATGGGAAAGAAGGCAGAGTGGAGTGTATCCCCGCTCGAGGAGGGTTTCGTGGGAAATTCAGCCGAAACTCTGCAAAAAAATCCCAAATTGTGAGGGCCGACAAGGGATGAAAGGAACTGCGAAAGGTGTAGACCCGATGTCAAGTGCTGCCACTCTCCGTACAGTCAGCAACCGTGTTTTGCAGGTATTATGCATGTGGGATTGAATACGTTTGGCAGACTCTATGGGGACTACGATGGTTTGACAAACTAATCGGCGACGGGGAGAAACACACCAAGACACACACCAGTACCAGCAAGCATGTCATACTCTAAGCCATTTGGCAGCACTACCACGCACAACAAACACGCGCGCAGAGTCAGCACAACACATCGCACAATAACTGTGGCAGGGCCTTCGTTTATCAGCAGCTGATTCCCAGTCACAGATTTCCGGAAAACTGCGACTTGTCAGGCTTGCCAAAAGCGCAGCAGGTTGCCATTGACAAGTAGCAGCCCATTTTGCGAAGGAGCTGACAGCATGCGCCCCAGACGCATCAACCACGGATAACTGCTGGCCGGAAGGATGTCCGTAGATTCTCTGTGCTCGCCCCTCTTATTGCGTTCTCGTCGGGGGCGGATGTCTTTCTTACTTGCACTCTCCGATCTTCACTCAAAAAGGTACGGAGATCTCAACAGGACAACACAAGTTGCCCCGGGGGTAGAATTGCCCGGGGGTGACTCGGCGTTGGATTGGGGGGGGGGGTAGCGGGGCATGGTCAGTGGCAGGGGGAACTCAGAGGATCCTACATGGCATGCAGCGCGCACGCAGGGGGGGCGGTATCTTTTTCGTCATACTTGTTGGCCATGGGCGATAGTTTTGGTAGCTGGCTGACGCTCACAAAACTCTACAGGGCAGGCATCAACTTGAGACCGGGCGGTAACTTCCAGAACACGGCAACAAACGTCATCGTGGGCTTCGTGAACCAAAAGCAAGACGAATTTTAAGGCGATTGACCATAACGAATCACAGCAGTATGTTCACACTTCGTTGTAGCTTTGATCAGCCCGTCGCCCACATTCCTCTAACTGTAGTGATGTCACCACCACCACTTTACACGAAACACAACGGGTGAGGCGGTCTTGTTGTGCGCAAGGTTCTCTTGTAACATGTTTGTTTCAATGCACACGACGGGTGTATGTGGGGCACGCTGCCGTCGAATAGCAGCGGTTATTTTCTGTCAAACTCTCCACCGTGCATTGGTGCTGCTGTTCGGTTTTTGCGACTTGAAGTTTGACGGTGCTATGCGGTGCCGTTAACCGATCGCACGGTTTTTTCCACGACACGGGTTTTTGTACCCCGTGATGAAACCGCGCGAACCGCGGCCTTGGTGCCCGGTCGAAGAAAACCGCAGAACTAATACGGTTATCGGCGACACCAGGACGAGTACCTATCTACAATTTGGTGGATGCGTCAGAATTTGTCCTCTCGCTGCGGTCCATTAACAAAATGTAGATGTGTGCACATTGTGCTGTGCATGGAGGCCGCCAATGACATACTCCAACCTGGCGGCCAGAAAAACCCAGACACAAGAGCTATTTTTTCGTTCGCCATAATAGCTTCCCACAACACGCATAACAGCAGCCACATCCTCACGTGCCTCTACAGGTTGCTGTTGGCAACTTTGAAGTCCAAATAGTTCTGGCAGCACCAGGCGGCTCATGATCACAACCCCAAATGAGTCCCTGCTGCACTCAGTTAGAGTTGACCTCGGCAACCAATTGCTCTCCCGCGCGAGCAGCTCGGACACATGCAGCTTTTGTATTTCCTACTCTGTGCGTGTGCAAGGAAAAGCTGTTACTTAACTGCGGTTTTTACCGCGGTTTTGGCGACGTAGTAGCTCAAACCGCACCGTGATAAGAACGGCATCTACGGTTCCCTAAGAATCCCCGCGGGTTAAAACAGTAGTAGTTTTGTTTTCATCTCGAAATGTGACAGTGTGGTGCCGTGCCGTTTTGATGAGGTCTGTCCTCGCTAACGATTGTTCATGTGCAGGCATCATCTCAGGTGTTAGCCAGACTCCACCGTACACTGCAGATATATATGGCGGTAACTAGCCACCTGGGTAAACGCTATACGGTAGCTGGCCACCACGGTAATTTTGTCGTACAGTAACCAGCCACCAAGGTTATGCAAAGAGTTTTGCGTTCTTTGTTACGGTAACTGGTCACCACGGTTTAAATGTTTCTAGTCTCAAAGTTAACCAGACCACGGTACGTATTGCCCATTTGGTGTTGCATTTTTTCCAGTGTTTCTTAAGCGCGTGGTCACGGCACGATGATACTAATAACGCGCGCGGCACATTCACTAGAGCATCACGTCGGTCAACCGAACAGAGTTTTCGAAAACAAAAAAAGGTAAAACACCAAAAAATCTCAACATTATTGCAGGGGCATGCTCTCGCGGCGTCATCACGACGACGTAAGTCCAGCGGTACGCCAAGTAACAATGTCATTGATCAGCAGACAGACAGGGCAACAAGCAAGCGCCGCCTCCCTCATCCAGCTAGAAACATTGGAAGCCGACGGTTGGTTAAAGAAACTAAACGAAAAAGACACGCGGCAGGGGGGTCCAGATAAAATATCCAGCCAACCATATGTAAACCTGGGATTATTGCCCCTGTCCCCACCCGCCCACCCACCCGTCGTAGCATAGCACGTTGTTTGCCTAGAGGGGCACAAGTAACTCGCTTGCAACGTTCACTCGGTCTTTCTTTGGGGTAATTGGAATTGTGTTATCCTTGCAGCAATGCACTTCGCAGTAACGAGAAAGCACAGGAATTGCGATTTTTGCGCGGAAATCGTTTGTAGGGTAATGGGACAATGCAAGTTGTTCGGTAATGGTTTGGGCGGTAACGGTAATATCAATTTTCCACGGCAACGGTGTGGATGGGAACGATAAAATACCTATCACGGAAACACGGCAAACGGTAACACCTTGAGTTCACCGCGGAAACATCAAAATAACGGCTGAATCCTTCTTGCGACGCAAATCAAGGCAAGCACCGCAGAAGGCTACGATCAAAACAACTCCTAGTTGCTCTTCCTCCTATGCGACCCCGGCTGGTGTATCCAGACTTGTTCCGAATGTCTGGATCGACGTCCAAAGAAATGGGATGTCAAGATCGAAAAGAATCGAGAAAACTGAGGCGATTCAATCTCAGAAATTGATCCAATAATTGCAAGATTACTCCGAGAAACCGATGTCAATCTCCAACACGAATAATTTATTACATGACCTCCATCGATCGAGGTATGGATGACTCCAATCGTTGATATTTTCGAATCACGTGGACGAGTTTACGATCGAAAGGCTCCCGCACCTGGTGCGCCTAGCTTCTTTGGTTCAGGACGCTATTCTACCAAACAAAGTACATAGATAGGAGCGGCCAGGGCTTCGGGCAATTGCACCCCGGTTGACAAGCGCGAGCGGAGGATTTACAGCGCGTCGGTCGTTCGCGGCTTCGGATAGATGCGTTGCCCTTGGAGAGAAGAGGAGGCTAACACGTGACCGGTGGTGAAGGTCCATTCCAGAATGTCTTTCCCTGGTGTACCCTCGATGTTGAGATACGAGAGAAATTTGTTGGGACTAAGTGCCAAGCGTGACGTGATAACCGCCCTTCGTCTTATGGAGTTGTTGCGGTGCATGGTAAGGAGGTATTTCATATGTGGTACTTTTGGGCCATGTACATGAGTAGTAGTAGTTCGTGAGCGAAAGCCGATCGCTGGCGGTCGGATTCAGAGAGAGGTGTGGGTGAGCTTGGCGGCAAGGACATCTTGGCGTCACCTGGATACGGAACTCGTCTCTGAACAGGCTTCTTCTTTCGCCAGCGGTAACTCCAGAAGAACGTACGACGGCGACTGACTGACTCCGTTCCGGCTTTTGCTTGCCACTTTCAGCTGGTGCACAGCACAGCAGTGTTTTTGCGGCAGTATGCTGAAAGGGGTCTGTTTTGTTTTTTCTCCAACCACCACCAGGAAACACCTTTTCGGTACAATTAATTATGGATGAACCGGGCCACTACTTGGAGGTCACACAGAGAGAGGAGCTTTTTCTCCGCCTTCCTTCCAAGGTGCCTGCCTTGATGTTTATATTTATCACGACAATGTAGCCGAATATTATTGCGTACAAACGCAATCAATCATCGATTTCCCGTTGTTTTGGCATACACGCATAATGTAGTGTGCGCAAACGTCATGATTGTCAGCAGGACCTGCCTGGCATAAGTGCGATACAAGCAGCGTGAAGCCACTGCGCGATAGAACAAGAATGAATGCCGAAGAAATCGGATTTTGACTGCACGCCGCATTTAAATTTCCGTTGAGTGCAGAGATATCACGAACGCGGCTACATTTGTTGTTGAGCTGACTGCTGCTAGCTGCTGTTGTAGTTGTCCAGTCGTAAAATTCGTGCTTCTCGACACCGACCACAGCAGTCTAGACTACTCCCAGAATGAATGGTCGGAGCTCGTCGTGCCGAAAGGACCACCACGTGCGAGCCAATCACATCAC